GTGGAGTTTCCGCCGTCGAGTCCTCTTTCACAGCGCGATTATCCCCTCAGACATCACCCGCACCATCACCCTCACTAGCGACACCATCACCATCGACAATACGACAACCGACCTCATCAAAGCAATGGCAATGCGGCTGCAGCAGACTCTTCTCGACCAGCACGCCGACACACTCGCGAATCGGCGGCGCACCGGTCACCGTGCCGAAGAGCGTGCAGCTCAAGATCGTCGAGCTGACTGAGACCGCGAAGGCGGGCCGCGCGAGGGGCGCGGAGATCCCGAAGCAGGGCGTGGAGGTGCAGGGTCCATTGGGTAGGGAAACCAGCACATGCTATGCTATGCGCGGATGATATGATATGGAAAAATTGCATTTGCAGAAGAGTTGGCTGATTGAAATGTTTGTGGGCATGGATGGGTGTGTATAGGAACCATGAGCATGACAGTCCCGTCATTCTCGCGCATCACGTTCGACGAGGAAACGCGCAAAGTTGTCTTTGCTGTTGAGGACGCACAGGATAAACACCAGAGAGCGATGTGGGGTGCGTTGCGTTCAACCCCCAAGACCCTGACATCTCGAATCGAAAAAGAACTGACATCCCTTCTCCCTTCCCTTCGACAGGAACCGTCCGCGCCCTCTTCGCCTCAAACGTCATCGGCGTCTCCGAAGGCCACATCTGCATCCTCCGCCTCGTCGGCGTCGGCTTCCGCGCCACCGTCGAAGACGTCAAATCCGGCACCCTGACCGACCTCACCCCGCAGTTCCCCGGCCAGAAATTCATCAACCTGAAAGTGGGCTACGCGCACCCGATCGAGCTGGCGTGTCCGGCGGGCGTGGAGGCGAGCACGCCGCAGCCGACGATGATTCTGCTGCAAGGGGTGGATAAGCAGAAGGTTAAGCAGTTTGCGGCGGAGATTAGGGAGTGGAGGGTTCCGGAGCCGTATAAGGGTAAGGGTATCTTTATTGATGCGGAGACTATTAAGATGAAGGCGAAGAAGATTAAATGAGGGGTTGGATGGTTTGCTTGCATTGGCTGGCTGGCTGGTGTGTGTGTGTGTGTGTGTGTTTATTGGGAGATGCTGTTTCCAGTGTAAATATACGGAAATCTTGTATGTATGTATGTACTACCGCTATTGATGCTGTCTCTTGACTATACTCTGTACATCAATGGGAATATCTATACGTGAGGAACCCAGATCACAACTTCAAAACCTTCTTAACAGCACTCACAACCTCCCCATGCACTTTCTTCGGCGCAGCAACCACCCCCTTAGTCCCCTTCAACGCTCTTACAAAACCCTCTCGACCAGCCATAATACGTCTCTCCGCCCATAATCTCACCAAACGCATCACGCACGACGATTTCCCCGAGCTCGCTGATATCCCTGCCCTTGTCCCCCTTTGTGGCTGCAGCATCGCCGTCCGCATACAACTCATCGACCTCGCCCAGCAAGTTCTTCACCGCAGCAACCAATTCCTTCCTGGCGGGCCCGGCGGCGCATAGCAGCGGTCTGACAGCGGATGGCAGGATAGGCGCTGTGGAGTTGGGTTTGATGTGGGGGAGCAGGTTCGCGGCAGGGAGTTCGTGGTAAGGAAGTGCGGGATCGCCGTGAGTGGCTGGGAGGATGTATGGAGCGTCGCGCCATTGAATTCGTTGTTGGTGGGTTTGGTTTTGATTTTTGACGGGTTGCTTGGAGGGAGAGTCGGTGTCGTTGGCGTTGACGCTGGCGTGTTGCGGCTCGGTGACGAGCTTGCGGAAGTGGGAGAGGGTGGGTGCGGGGAAATATGTGCACTTTTCCCAGATGGTGAGAAGGTCATGGAGATGGGAGTGGATGTTTGATTTGCGATTGCCATTGCGGTTGCGATTGGGTTGCGCATCTTCGCAGGTTGAGGCGACGAGATGGAGGAGGGTGGCTATGGAGGGGATTATCGCATCGGCGAAGGGAGAGTGCGAGTCGCGAGGGTGGTGGTGGAAGGTGACATGGTGCAAGACGTCATGCAGCAAGTAGAGGAGGTGGAGCTGCTTCCTCCGAGCAGAAATGTCTTTGTCATTCTCTTTCTCTTTCGCATCCTGCTTGGGCGGCGCATCGAAGGACTTCGCCAGCGCAACGATGTAGCGGGCAAACAGCACGGTCCTCCTCTTTGAGGGGACGATATGCGTTGTTATCCAATCCTTGCATGTCTGATAGAAGTCAAGGGGGCAGGCGACGACGGCGATTGTTGAGTATTTAGTAGTGGTTCACTCGGACGATTGGTGAATAGAGTCAATTGCAAACCTGGATGTTGGTGTAGGAGCAGCGCCGGACTGCAGAGAGCAGCGCGGCATAGAAGGCGTCGACGGCAGGGCGGGCGAGGGGGTCTGGGTCAGGGCGGAGGAGGGAGGCGAGGAGGGAGGTTTTGGCGAGGGCGAGGTCGGTCATCCTGCTCCTGGTGGGTGATGTGATGTTGGTGAGGAGGAGAAGAAGAGGAGGAGAGGGATGAAGTGAGATGAGATGAGGAATTTGATGTGACGTCGGATGCAGCTGCAGATGCGGAAAAAAAGAAGACAAAAAAGAACTGATCGACGAGAGCAGGATTCGAACCTGCGCACCCGAAGGTAATAGATTTCTAGTCTATCGCGTTAGACCACTCCGCCATCTCGCCTGTTGCTTAAAAACTGCTGAGAATGTGAGGTAGATCACATCCCAGACGCTCAAATCGAGCAGGTTGAGGTTGGCTGTACATGTCGGGGAGAGGAGAGGAGAGTACTATGCTACCATATAGAAAAAGGAGGAAGAGGTGGTTGATGAGATGAGGTGAAAGACCGGGGGCGTATATCATTAGCACGACAAAGGAGGATCCTGGGAATAGGATAACGTACAAAATATCTCGGATTTTTGGGGCAACAAGAAAAGAAAGGAAAGAAACAAAACACAAGATGGTATCCATGAGACAAGATGCAAGACCAAGACAATCAATCAATCAGTGGGAAACCAAGCAGATAAAGATCAAAATGAGACTGAACTCTGTAAACGCCGCCACTAAATTTTGTTCCGCTCCAAACACATTGCGAAAACAGAAGGATCTCATCCAAGCCCCTGAGCCCCTGGATAGGACCAATATTGGAGAGGCAGGGGGGATCACCAAGATCCCAGACATGATCAGATCAATCCGGAGTCATTCGAAGGCTGACAGCAGCAGCGGCATTATACGGAGCTTCCACTTCTTCCGGAGATTTGTAGCCTAGAAGCTTGTTGATGCAGCTGCCCAACAAGTCCGCTGCCTCAGTGAGCAACTCCCATCTGGTGTTGCTCAAGCTCTCGCGAACAACAAACAGGAGTCCTAAACAGTGATTCCGCGCAGGCATTATGTCCAACTCTGCTGGATCAACGACACTGCCCGCTCGCATTAGGAATGCAAACATGTCTCGTCTCTGTCCCTCTGCGGTCTGGATGTCTGGCGGGGGATACGTTGGAACCCCGTTGTTTCTCGCGTAGCTCATGTTGCCCTCTAAGGGACCATCGAGCGCGAATCCGTACGCCCAAATAGTGAGCATAGCGAAGTATATCGTCCATGGACGATGGGAGAGATTATCGTACTTTGCTCTATATTCAGCGAGCCGAGGCAGCGTGGTTCCATTACCTTCGCCTTCGAGAATGTAGATTCCGTAAAGTAACTTCAGCGCATGATAAGTGGCGTCGCGAGCTGATGGTTTCTTCGCCCATTCAAGCATCCTGCGGACCGTAGCCTGGTAAACACTAGGTGTCGTATAGCGGTTCATGAGGCAGCCCGCGCCTGCGAACCGTTGGCAGTCAATCGCGTCTATGTGCGATGCTATATGTGCCAAGTGATGTAAGACGTTTCGAGAACCAAATGCCGTGTTTCTATTTCTTGGATAATCTGCCGCAAGCAATGGGTTCACGGCAGACTCACGCATCGCCTCGTCATATTCTTCAACCCAGTGGTCAAAAGCGCGTAACAGTGTCTTCCGCCATTCGTCCCTGCCGCCTGTGATGCCGAGAGACTGGGCTTGGATGTCTCGTTGGGTTAGGTTCCAGCTCACACTTAGCAAACCTGACATGATGATCGTTTGTCCAAACGCAGTCGTCTTGACTTTGTTTCCATTTAGTGCTTTCTTCAGCGCAACCAAGAACATTGTCGGCCTAGTCATCTCTGGGTCTAGGCAGCTAAGTTCATGCTGTACTTGCGCAGCTTCAATGGCCGACGATGCCTGCCACAGAGCTTCATGACATGGAAGTGAAAGCTTGAGCCCGTGGACTACCATCTTCACCGAATGCCCGAACATCGTCGCATGTAACGAGTCCATCGTGAACGCCGCGAACGCTACTCTGCGCGTTGACTCTGTCTCGATAAACCGCGCCCAGATCCGCTTCGCGGACATGGAGTCCATTCCAGCCGCGCCGTTGCCGCCCTCGGGAGATTCTTGATTATCGCCATTGCGCATCGGTGGAGACTCAGGGGCCCGAGTTATGAGAGAGCTGCCCCGGCGCATCAATGTCAACAATCCATCATGATGTGTATGGGCGCGTTCATGCAGTGATCTTGTTGAGTACATCTTCTCGTAGAGCTCTAGTAGCACCAGGGCCTGGAATACCCATAGCTTTGCTGGAGCTTGGGCATGCGGGTGTGTAAAGATCTTCCATCTCAAATGAGTCGCTATAAATGTCGCTAGCTTTGACGTCTTGTCTATCATATCCTGTCCCCAAGGTCCATTCAGCGTGGCTGCACCTAGAGCTATGACGGAAAGGAGCAGGGGTATGCACGTCTGGTCAGGTATGAAGGTCGGTTTGTGAAGTATCGGCACTTCGCCATCACTGTAGTGCCAGTAAGATGCAAGGTAGTGCTGCATCATACGAGCACTCAAGACGTGATCAGCAGAGTCGACATCACCCTGAAGGATCTCGTCGAATTGGCTTTGCCGCGTAGGTTCATCTGCTTCGCTCCCTGGATCGGTGAACTGGGTGCGCATGTACTCGATAATCTTCAAGCGCTTGTTGTCCGATAACAATGAATGCGGTGACCCATTGACCACGCTAGTTATCGTCATAGGGTGATGCTGAGACATCATATCAGATGCATAGTCTTGCGAAAACATGCTAGGGGGCATCTGGGTATATGAATCCGCATATTGATTAGGAGCCACTGCCGAATAACTGTATGTTGAAGTGGGAGAGGAATTGCCGTTGAAGAACCATTCATACATATCAATTCCAGCTCCGAAGTGCCCTCGTTCAAACTCGTCCCCGAAAAGAGACATGGAAAAAGGCATTGATTCCATATGTGCCCAAGGAGCTCCACATGCGAACGCCGGATTCTGAAGTGACAAGAACGATCCCGCCATATCTGGCACGCCATGTTGCGACTTGTTCTGGGTACCTCCATCTGAGTAAGGAAAAGGGAGCTCTGCCGGTTGGCATTGTTGTGTCGGGTTGTATGGCGCTGGAGCTGGAGGGTGAACCAGACTCTCTGTGATAGCAGCAGCGTGCCCCGACGAGCTGTTGAAAGCGTGTGTGCTCTCCAGCGCAGGAGCATTGAGAGCAGCAATGGAAGCGGTTCCGACTGCGGAGACACTATTGAGATTTCCGAAGGAATCTGCAATAGATGCTGCTGGCGCTGGCGGATTATGAGTCGAGCTCTGGTGATGATCGCCGGGCAGGCCGAAGCTGTATATGCTCTGATTGCTTGTCGCTGAGGCTGGCGCATCGCCATACGACAGATTTTGCTGTAAAGGACCGAAATGCTTCAGGGGGATTTGGACATCCTGGTTTCTGTATAAAGCATCGTTGGGATCTATCCTCACGCGTAGTCCCATATAAGTAGAGTCTGAGCATGATGGAGGCGTGCTGTCCGTTCCCACCGGCGATAGATGCGACGAAGGGCCATGCTCAGCATCTGATGTGCCAACAGAGCTTGTCTTCTGTATGGACGGCGCGATATGAGTCTCGGGAGATACAGAAATTGGCCCCTGACTGTCGTGCGAGTCTCTCGCCTTGATGTTGATGGCCACGGCGTTGTCGCGGTGGCGGAAACTCGGTGGGTTCGCGCAATGGCGCTCCTTATGGCGGACACACAGGTCGTGTCTCACGAACTGCTTCTTGCATCCTGGAAAATCGCAATAGTAGATTCTCCTTGGTTTGTCTGCAAATCACATCAGAGGCGGCTCTTAGTGTCCAATTCCTGTATCATCTGCAGCAGCGGGGCCTGCAATCCACACACGATAATCAAACGGTGCTCACAACAAGAACAACGACAACGACAGCGGCAACAAACATACGATTGAGACAATGGCGCTGGAGATGTTCGGCTCTTGAGTAGGACTTGGTGCAACCCTCAAACGTGCACTCATACTTCTTGTCCGGGTCGACTTTCCTGTTGCGCCGGCGTCTTTTTGGCGGAGGAGCAACAGTGGCGGTCGAGGCTTTCGGCTCCCCAGGCGTCCCCGCAAACGTCTCGGCGGGCCCAGGGCGGTTTTTCTCTGGGGGCCGACACGGGTCGTCCAGCTCTCCCTTCATGCTTGAAGTGCGGGAGGGTTGGAGGAGGAGAGGGGGGGAAAGTGACCAGTTCTAAAATCGCGCAGGAGGGAGATGCAATGCACACAGCGGCAGCCAGAGGGACTTGGCCGGCCGGAGAGGGGATTGAGGGGCACAAGGCCATATAAGAACCCAAGTCCAATGGACTGAAGAAAAATATGACGAGATGAAACTGAGAGGAAAACGCAACGCAGAAGGCAGGATGCGAATGCGCGGCAACTAATCCTGTTATGGCTCACCGTGAAGCTAATCGGGATACCGACTCAGCTACCGGGGGCAGACAGTGGAAAATGGCTTGGTGGGTACGATACAGGATGCACGATGGCCTTGCCTTGATTTGGTCTGGTTTGAATTGAATTGAATTGAAATGACTCGACTCGACTGGCTTGGAGCGGCCAGAGGTTTCTGTATAAGGGAACTCGCGGACTGGGGGGAGGAAGACGCTGCAAGATGTGCGTCGAAGGGCGGAGGAGGAGGAGGAAATATTGGGCTACACACATACATGCGCGGAAGCAGGACGGGCAGGGGAGAGTGGAGGAGTGGAGGGAGAGGATGAGATGATTGCTTGATTGATCGATTGACTTTCGATCCTCTCGTCTCGGGTCGATGCATGAAGATCTTTCTTAACTTTCTCAACGCCATTGGAACGCGATTCGGAGCAGTGAGGTTGCAACGGTGCCCCGGGCGGGGATCCTCTCAACAGACACATGCAAATGACTCTGCATGACGAACCCCATCAGCCTCGCCCATTCTTGCGTCGACGCGTCCCCTGCTGCGCTCCTTGGATCACTTCCATGACGTCTGCCGCAGTCATCTCGACGGAGCCCAATTGGCGGGCACGACTGGCACAGTGGATGGCAGTTCTGTCAGATGTCAAGAGGACTTGTTGCGCGACCTGCAGTGCCTGCAGTGCCTCACTCAACAAGGGCAGCAGGCGGAACCTACTCAGTTCGCTGCGTTTCCAAAGAAAGCGAAAGTGATCGTATGGACTTCCCCAGGTGAGTTAGCAACTCTCCAGCCCAAGCGGCCCGGTAACGGCAGCAGCACGCACACGCCGCAACCCTCCCATTTGATTGTGAATTGCCGGTTGCCCCAAAGCTTGGTTGGGAGAGA